GCTGGTGTTGTAATCCTCCCATAAAAGGACAGTGGCTTGATATGACATCAAGCTTCAGAAAAAGAGAGACAGTGTTATAACAGGCTGGTGTTGTAATCCTCCCGTAAAAGGACAGCGGCTTGATATGACATCAAGCTTCAGAAAGAGAGAGAGACAGTGTTATAACAGGCTGGTGTTGTAATCCTCCCATAAAAGGACAGTGGCTTGATATGACATCAAGCTTCAGAAAAAGAGAGACAGTGTTATAACAGGCTGGTGTTGTAATCCTCCCATAAAAGGACAGTGGCTTAATGTGACATAAAGCTTCAGAGAGAGAGAGACAGTGTTATAACAGGCTGGTGTTGTAATCCTCCCATAAAAGGACAGTGGCTTGATATGACATAAAGCTTCAGAGACAGAGAGACAGTGTTATAAGAGATCAGTGTTTCAATTCTAAAACTTTACATCAACATTAGCATATTTGCTTATCAATTATGTGCAACTTGTGAACTAACAAGGTTAATCGTATTCTGCCAGCTACAAGGAATAAAAATATCAACAATCAAACTTTTTAAATATTTGTAAAGTAAAAATATTAACTTAATATAATAGTAAATGTGTGATAACAATAAGCAGGAACGCTATCATCCAATGTTCTACCATTAAAACATAATTAATTGTGAAATCAAGATTAAAATCATCTTAACAACACCTGGCAAATAGATTAATACACGAGTATTTTTACTACACCAAGTTTGTTACATCCTACAGTTCCTACTGATATATCAGTAATCTCAACCTTTAGCAACACCAAATCTCAGTTAATATAATTAAACTTTGGTAGTACTACTGACTAACTTGTGTTAAAAAGAAAGAAACAGGGTTTTTTAATCTCCAGACTGAGCGCTAATGGTTGACTGCTAATCCAATAATATAGTTAACTTTGCATGTTGGAAATATTACGTGTCTGTGTGTGTTTTATAGCAAAGCCAAATGAAGCTATCTGCTGTGTCCACCTAGGGTAATCGAACCCCTGATTCTAGCATTGTAAATCCGTTGAATTTCTGCTGTCCCACCGGGGAAAATATATTAAGTATGTGTGTGTGTTACCTTTGTGAAACAGTTCAACTAAGTAACTGTTTAAGACAGGGTTTGTTATACCACGATGTAAGTTCAACTAAGTAACTGTTTAAGACAAGGTTTGTTATACCACGATGTAAGTTCAACTAAGTAACTGTTTAAGACAAGGTTTGTTATACCACGATGTAAGTTCAACTAAGTAACTGTTTAAGACAAGGTTTGTCATATCTGGGTGTCAGTTCTACTAACTAATTGTTTAAAACAAGGTTTGTAATATCTGGATGTCAGTTCTACTAACTAACTGTTTAAGACAGGTATGTAATATTAGGCTGTCAGTTCTACTAACTAACTGTTTAAGACAGGTATGTAATATTAGGTTGTCAGTTCTACTAACTAACTGTTTAAGACAGGTATGTAATATTGGGCTGTCAGTTCTACTAACTAACTGTTTAGACAGGGTTTGTCATATCTGGGTGCCAGTTCTACTAACTAACTGTTTAAGACAGGTATGTAATATTAGGTTGTCAGTTCTACTAACCAACTGTTTAAGACAGGTATGTAATATTAGGATGTCAGTTCTACTAACTAACTGTTTAGACAGGGTTTGTCATATCTGGGTGCCAGTTCTAGTGATTGTGTAAAAGGAGGTTTATTAAGTTTTCGTGTTGTTACTTTTGTTTATAATGCAGGTGCCATAACGTAGGTGCTAAACACGTGGTGTCCATAATCATTCAGAAAAGAATTCTTTCCAAACCCAGATAACTGACA